GATTTGTTGTTACACAATGCATCAATGCAGGTCGTTAATTTATATCCGAAAACTCCGTGTTTTTATTACACAAAAAAGATAACTTATTTTCTTTTTTTTTGCATTTTGAACACTACTGTAAATTAATTTCTTAACAAAAAGAATGACTTGTCAACTTACAGCCGATTGTTTGAGTGAAATCCTTGAATATTTAGAGGAAGATAAGCTTACTTTACATTCATGTTTGTTAGTTAATCGTCTATGGTGTAAAATTTCTGTTAGAATTTTATGGAGGAATATTTGGAATTTTAAAAAACAAAAACGTCCATTGAGAGTAGCATCATCAATTCTTAGCACATTAATTGCTTGTCTTCCTAATGAATCAAAAGAGCTCCTACATAAAAATAACATTTTTATTTTACCGCCTACTCCAAAACCACCACTGTTTAATTATTCAGCATTTTGCAAAGTTCTTTCAATTTATGAGATTGATAAAATAGTTTATAGTATTAGAGATAAATTAACTATTGAAACATTATTGAGTGATAGAATTAGTTTAATCACCAATGAAATTATCAAAATGTTCACATCCCAAATCTCTTCCTTAAAAAAATTGGATTATTACTACAATTATTACTGTTATCACGTTAATTTTTCTTTTGATAATTTTCCTGGAGCAAGAGACCTTTTAGAATTATGTTGTGAGTCAAATCTTTCTTCTGATTTTTTTTATCAGTTGTCTCAAGTATGCCATAATTTACAATCAATTTCTATAAATATTGATAATAATGATGTTTCAAATGAGTTAAAAGAATTAATTTCTTTACAGAATAATTTAAAAAATATAGCTTTATCAGCTTTTGATGGGAGTTGGGCAGATATTATACCTTTTTTAACAAAACATTCTGATTCAATAACAAAATTACATCTTTATAGTGATGAAGATAATTTACCATTATCATTTATTGATCTATTCTCAAATTTACAAGAAATTATATTTTCATTTCCTAATGTTTTTGAAATTTTTGAAAATTTTGAAGAATTTGAAGATTTTAATAGGGAATTCATAGATTTTAAAAAATTACAATATGCCAATTTTTCTAAATTACAAATTTTAAAAATCCCTTTTCATTGCCCAAAAGTTGAGTATGTAATTAAATTTTTAGAAAATAATGGAAAAAACCTTAAAAAATTATATATTTCTAGAAGTAATAGAGATTTAAGTTTATCTATTGCTAAGTTTTGTCCAAACATTAAGAGTCTATATATAATATTTAAAAATGGAGAGCTAGATATATTGAAAACTATATTTATTAGCTGTCAATATTTAGAAAGTGTTAAAATTTTATGTGGAGTAAAGCATCTAAACAAAAAAGAGGTACTAGAAACTATTGCAAAGTATTCCCCAAATAATTTCTGTGAATTAAAAATTCATAGTAGTTCATATTCATATGTATCTTCAGAAGTTTTAGAATCTTTTTTTATAAGCTGGAAAATTAGGACACCAAAAAATTTACTTACTTTAATAATGATTAAGGGTGATTACTATACTGATTTAAGTATGGAAAATATGAAAATAATTGAAAAATATGAGAATTTAGGTATCATTAAATTTGAAACTAAATGGTACGATGAAGAAGAAAAGGAAGAAAAATTTCACTATTATTTTTAAATGTTCTATTAAGTTTTGTTTATAATTTAAAATTAGCTTCTTTTTAGCAATAGAGAACTCTAGGACTGAATTTTAATAATAAAATATATATAATATTCATTATTTTATTAATGGTTAAGAATTGTTCTTTTTTTAAAATGATCATGATCTAATAGAATAAGTAAAAAAAGGTTCTTTATTCTAAGAACCTGAATTTACATTTAATTTCATGTAATGTTGATTTATGAATTTTATCATAATTAGTACATAAATAAAATATTTTAATTAACAACTGAAAATATTATCAACGTCATTTTTTATTAAAATTTAAGACTAGACAAATTATTATAAATTTCCTATTGGTAAAAATGCTCAGCGGTCCTACAGGTCCGTCTCGGTCTAGGACTTTGTAGGACTGGACCGCGGTCTTTTTTTTTTTAGGACCGGTCCTAGGACCGATGCAGGTCATACCGGTCTTTATATTGAAAATTATATATTTACTGCAACTTGCAAAAAATTATAAAGAAAAAAAACTTTTTTTCATCTAGTTTGGGAGATATTATAGCAAACCTTTGAGGCCCCGAACCTAAAAATCTAAACGTTTTTACAGCTGATTTCATAAAGGTCGGGACACTTAGCAAATTTTAAAGAACTCGGAAATATTCGGTAAAGCTCAAAATAAGATAAAATTACACCACCATTCTCGGAATAGTACTCCAAAATTAGCGTATAATTTTTATTTTATATCAAGCTTTACCGAATATTTCAGAGTTTTTTAAAATTTGTTAAGTGTCCCGTACATTATGAAATCAGCTGTAAGGGTGAAAAAAAAAGACTGATCGGTCCGACGGTCCGTGGTCTCTCGCCAATTTAGGTCACGTGATGTGAGACCGAAAGACTGCGGTCCGACCGGTCCGTCTTTTTGAGGTGTTACCTATTGGTTATGCTAAAATTATTATTCCTTTTTTTCCAAGGATATTTTTCTGCTATTCATAAGAATATAGCATACACTTACTCTCTATATTTATCTCATGCTTAAATTTTTATTTTGTATTCTATTTTTCAGCTTATAAAAAATATTCTATTCCATAACAATGCATTTCAATTCTTCATTAATATTATTCCATAATTCATTATTAAAACTCTAAAGATGGTTTAATGGATCACTTATTGTCAAATCTGTATGTCATTGTGGAGTATTTTCATTAATTCAGGACGTTTATCCTATACAGAGACTCAAAAAATATATATATAGGGGTAAAGATGGTCATAGGTCCTACAGGTCCTACTCGGTCCTGGACCGGGCGGTCCCAGGACTTGTAGGACCTGTAGGACCGTGGTCTTTCATTTTCCTTGGCACAGTAGGACCGGTCCTGAGACTGACCTGGTCTTTGTATCGGTCTTTATATATAAGTTATTACATGCATATTGAAACTTCTAGAAAAGACTGTCTCCCTGTCTCCAAGGAAAAAGAAAATTAACGTTAATAAAGTATAATAAATCCGTCTTTATACATGTTATTTGCTTATAATATACGTCTGGAATGGTTCCTATAAATTTATGCAATCAATGTTCATTTATAAAGGAAGACTGTTCCTAGTAAAGTAATAGAAAATTTTTTATTTGCAGAAAAAAGAAAAAAGACTGATCGGTCTTAAAAAGACTGCAGTCCTTAAAAAGACCGTCGGTCTTATTGTACATGTTACAGGACCAAAAGACCGCGGTCCTACATCAAGACGGACTGGTCCGTCTTTTTAAGGTGTAGGACCGCGAGACCGTGGTCTTTTAGGACCGATGACCATCTTTATATAGGGGTCATGTTCGCTAGCACGTAGCCTTTATCATAAAACTAGGCAGAGTAAGGTATTGATTTGCGTAGAATTTAAGAAATTTTATTAATAGTCAGATGTTCAGATTACATATTTTTATCAAAACTTTAATGTAAGAAATTTAGTTTGCTTAAATTTAGACTTATTTGACTAATTTCATTGTAATATTATCAAACAATTTTCTTTATTGTAATTTTACTTATTATTATAATAATATTTGATTATTTTGGACGAAAAGACATTGGTGAAATTTTTTTTTAAACTTAATAGTAAAAAATAATACAATAAATCATGTGACCCTTAAGCCTGAAGTTTTGGGTATCAATAACGCGTAGCGATCTTATAAAAAACCCCTGTGTAGAGCTATAAATAGTAAAAAGTTTTTTTGCCACCTGACCAGTCCTGACCTCTATATAATATATATATATATATAATTATAGTTGTGATAATTGGAAAAGTGAAACAAGTACTTATCCTGTCTCTTATACACATCTAGATGTGTATAAGAGACCTCTATATAATATATATATATATATAATTATAGTTGTGATAATTGGAAAAGTGAAACAAGTACTTATCCTACGATGGATGTTTTACCGTCGTAAAATTACGAGATATTTCATAATATTTTCACTTTTTAGATCTTTTTTTGCAAAATAACTTTCAAGATTACCGCATACTCCATATCTTTAATTTATCAAAAATAAATCTATTATATCCTCAGAGTTATTTAGTACTTATAAGTAAATATATAGTAAATAAGTCGATCAAAATATTAATAAAAAAAGTATAAACTATAATGTGCAAACGTTTTTCCCTAGATAAAGTAAATTATATATATATTAAATATAATGATTAAAAATTTTCATACATTTCTTTTCATGTTCATTCTTTTGTAATTGTAATATTTGTTATTATCAACCAACACAATCAACTAAAATGGTAAACATTGTTTATCTCTTTGGATTAATCCTCTCAACTAGGAGAATAAATTCGACGTTGTTACGGTAATTTTCCAAAATTATATAAGAAAAATAAAACCCTGTAGTGAAACCTACCTTAACATGAAAAATTAATCATTTCTTATTTTCATAGTAATTTCATGGTAAATTTTTTTTTTACGTTTGTCATATTACGTATTATGTTCATTTTCATCATCACTTTTTAGCCTACCATCCGCGGAGAAGCTTGGTTATGGATCCAATGCGTAAAAGCTTGAAGCTTAAAGCATATTCTAACGCTAAACTTAAAAATAGGTATTGCAGACAAAGATCATTTTAATGCGAGCTTAGTATTTATTTTTGAAAGTGTGCTTATGAATTTAATATGTGAATTATTCAAACTTACACCTAATAATTAATATTTATTCGGTAAATCTTTATTACATATTTTTTTTTTTCTTAATTCTTATAATTAGAAAATAAATAAATATTTATGATATTTATGGAAAAGAATATTATATGATTAGGAATTTTTATAATTATGAAATATTTGATTATTATATATATATACTTATTTAAATGATAATAAGGATAGGATTTCTATGGTTTAATAAGATTCTGATGATTCTTCCGCATTAAACGGAGCGCCGAAACCATGGAGCTAGACAATGGATCACATGAGTCAATTTCAAGAACTTTCTCCCAATGAGATAATAATTTATTAAAAGTATGTTGATCAAAAATGATTTTCTCGTTCTCGAATCCAGCACGTATCTCTCTCAATAAGTCAAGTCCGATACCCTTGATCTGAGTGATTTGTTCTATGCATTCCTTGGACAATTCAGTATTTGTACCCCATTGGTTTTGAAATTTTGATTCAAGTGTTTTCACTTTTTCTATTGCATCCATAGCTTCAATTTGTTGTCCACGAGAAAAATAAATTTTTCCTTTAATCGTATATGCATTACGCAAACTTTTACACATGTAATCATTTTTTGGCATGATTTTTAACGCCTCTTCTAAGTCAATCAATGCTTTGTCCGCTTCACCTATTGAATAATAGAGTGATCCACGTTCAGCAATTGCCATCACATCATGATTAATTACTTGAATACCAATCGCTCTATTTAAATTTTCTAATGCTTCGGTATATTTCTCAAGTTTATGATAAGTCATTCCACGATATGTAAGTATACGAGATCTGGCAACTTTGTTCGAAAAATTTGAAAGGTACCCTGATAATAATCTATCTGCATTATTTAAAGCTTTTAAAGCTAAATTATATTCTCCCATTTCGAAATATAAGTGACCCAGATTCTGGTATAAATAAGTTTCATTGGGTAACATATCTATTGCCTGATTTAAATCCTTGAGTGCTTTATCATATTCTCCGCGAAACGTATAAAATTGTCCCCTATAACAATATATATCCACTAAATCTGGATCTAGTTCAATTGCTTTGTTAAAATTTGAGAGAGCATTATCATGTTCTTTTTCAAAAAAATGTAAAATGAACCCACTGAGTGACCATCTCCATGCATTCTCTGGATCATCGTCGTCCGCATATACTGGAAGATTAATTTCATGTACGGCATCACCGTATCGTTTCAAATGAAAGTACGCCCACGCAAGACGATAAGCATTTTCGCTATTTGACATATCGATTATGGAAGCAAGGTTGGCATATTCTAATGCTTGTTCCAAATGTCCGAAAGATGTAACAATAGAGCTCCTAGAAGTGTAAAAATAACCATTACTAGGATTATATTTTAATGCTCTATTAGAATCATTAATAGCTTCTTCTCGTTTTCCGATTTCTGCATAACACCTTGCTCTTCTATTAATTACCCATGAATCTTTAGGATTCATCATTAATGCTTTGTTAAAATCTTTTATAGCCAAATCAAATTCATTCATTAATTGATGTGATTTTCCACGGAGTAATAATGCATCACGATCTTTGGGTTCCAATCGTAATAATCGATCCAAATCTTGTTTCACAAGTTGAAATTTGTTCTTTTTGTAATAAAGTCCACTTCGTCTTCTTAAACATTCAACGATAACTACTTTATTTGCAGGATTATTAAATGCAAACTTCTCAAGATGTAACTTTTGAATAATTGAGGTAACTTTTGAAGTTGATCGAGAGAATATCATTTTTTGAGAATAAAAGGCCAAAAGAGCATCAAAATCCTGTAATGCATCATTAAACCTGTTCATATTTATATATATTAATCCACGTGTCAATAAGCTTTGTAGATTGGTTGGCTCCAAATTTAGAGCTTGAGTAACATGCGAAAGTGCAAGATTGTTATTTTCCATTTGATGATATACAGATCCAAGAAGACACCAAGCATGTGGTTTGTTGGGCTTAAAGTGAATTGCAATATTTAGATCACAAATTGATTGATAAAAGTCACCAAGCTGTTTTAGAGCGTAAGCACGTTCACAACGAATACTATAACTATCCGGCCAATTTTCTAGTAACCGATTTAACCAAAATATTGCAACAGGAAATTTTTCTTCCTTTATTGCAGCTTTTGCTTTAGAGTATGCAGGATGTGCTTTTTTCAATAATCCAAGCGTCTTTTTCTTTCTTTGATCTTGGTTAATAGCGATATTAGGGAGTGAAAGTGGTGTCAATTCACCGTTAATTGTCTTGAACTCACTTGTGTTTTGAATGTTTGATATATTTTTTACTAAAACGAGTTGTTGATAAAGACCTTGATGCATTGCAGAGATTTTCTCATTTTGAACTTCTTCATATTGAAACTCTTTTCGACATAGACAACATGAAAACAATTTTTTCTTATTCTGACATTCGTTTGACCAAGTTTTTACCGCTTGAACACTAAGAAAATGACCACATGGTAATTTTTGAAATTGTTCACTCATATCTTGAGTAATAGGACATGTTAACTCAGCTGCCAATATATCATAAATTGTTTTTTGTAGTCTATCATCCTTTTTTATATTTTTATATAAGTTCAAGGTAAGTTCTGATACGTTTCTGGTCGCAAGACAACGTCTCGAGATTATATTGAAAAGTTTTTGAAATTTTACTGCATCGTTTGAACTAATCTCTCTGAATACTTTCAACATATCTTGAAAATCGATATTAAGTTGAGAATTAAAAATTTTATGTTTCTTCGATATGATAATCAAAACTTCTACCGCCTTTGATCGAATGTAGATATTAGGCGCATGTTGTAATGATCGTAAACCTAAATAATATAAGAAAACTAAATTTTGGACAGATTGAGTTATCATTGCAAGTTCTTGAGATAAGTCAAGCACTCCAAACCATAATGAACGAGCTATAGGATCATTTCTCAGTAAAGCGTTTAAAGCGTTTGTATTTTGAGTTATATCATCCTTAACATTCCGAAATTGTATTAACTCAACTGAAGCGTATGACCACAACTGCTCAAGTAAGAATCTCTCATCTGGTTCCTGTATTTCTAAATCATTTTTATCCTTATTTAAGTTGATTAAATTTTGTAAAATAGTATCTAATTTCTTCCATTGTGAATACCATAATGATATCGGATTCTTGAAGCTAAATATCTCTTGTAATTGAGAATTAATATCGGACGTAATGCTTATATTTTCATCTTTTACACCATTTATTGATGTGAGGTCTATTGCTTCCGATTTTTGATTAACGTTATCAGACATAGCATGAACTGCATCTCGAAGAATCCAGAGTAAAAAATCGTTATTATAATTCCTCATGAGAATTTTTTCATCAATACTAATTGCTTCAATATCTTCAGATCGTGAATCATCTCCTGAGATGTAGAATTTTGCAAATTTGATTAGCTGAGCAAAAAGATCATCTCGTGAAGTATGCGTTAGGCAAATTTCAGAGCGAGAAGCAGCATTTATTGTGGACAGTAAAGTACGAAGGTGAAACTCTAGTATGACCGATTTTTCTTCATCATAAAGTCCAAAAATTGATGAGTCAGATAGTACTTCTAATGCGGAGTTGAGAACATTTTTTGACAACGGATTGGAACGATCGTCTAACAAACTTTTTAGCGAACAATAATCGGAAGGTAATCTCAAATTTCTGCTGCGGATTCGGTCAATAATATCGCATGCCTGTCGATCATTGATTGGTTTGGAGCCGCCAATCTATGACAAAGTATTTTGTAATTTTTTAATCATTACATCATATATAAAAAAATAATTCTCACGCATACCTCTTTTATTATGTCCATTATAACATTAAAAGAACAGAGTTACTAGAATTTTAAGAGTTTAATTTTTTGTACTTATATTTTCAATTCACTAAATACCGTATTAGTTGAGACCCGTAGATCATTTGACTTTGTCATACTATATAGGCGTAAAATTTAATACCGTTGTGCCATTGTGGATTATTCGGGCTAAGATTATTATGGAAATTTGAAATCATCAGTAATAATAATTAGTAATGCTGCGGGTATTCGAAATGATTTGCATTATTAATGAACTTTACTAATTTAAACAGCGCCTGTGAAGATCATACGGTTATCCCGCGGGATTTTTTTTTTTTTTTTTTTTTTTAAAAAAAAAAAAAAGATTAGATAACAATCTCTGATTTAATGTGAAGTCTTTATTATTAACAGCCCAATGGCTTATGTAATATAAGCCTTAATTTAATTTACATAAATTATGATAACTTTTGTTGTCAGTTCTCCAGCCACTTTTTATTACGTGGCTTATTACGTGGCTTAAAAAGAATGGCTGTAATTTTGTCCCAATATTAAGACTACGCGTCAATATTATGGTGAACATGATAATCGTAATGATCCATCTCTATTTGAAATAGAGGACTTCCGTGCAAAATATAACATACTAGTTAGTCAAATATGTATTATAATAATTTACAATGATAATGATGGTATGTGAGGTAATATGTTTTATTATTAGTTGTCTATGTTTTGTCCAAAGATTCATAGAGATGAAGTACTGTGCAGAACGTTAGTTGGCAGTTTAACGAATGTAAAAGTTTTAGTGAAAAGAATTTTTTTTTATTTTCCGAGATAGAACGATCCGAGTGAATTATAATTATATATATTAGTCTATCTAAAATTACGAACCGGACCTCCAATCTTATAGATTGTAATCCGTATCCTTTCATATAATCACTACTCCTTTGACTACAAAGAAGAATTAAAAACTACGTTCGAATTAAAAAATAAAATAAAATTATAACAATGCGTGAATATTAAATTTATTTTTATTCATGTAAACAGATATATACTGTACTGTATTATATATAGGTCGCTGTTAATAGAATATACTTTGAGGAAACATCTAATTTCAGAAAATTTAAAATTTATTCGAAAAATTCGTATCATTAGAGACATACATGTAGAATAGAATCACAATACAGAGTTTTGAAATTTTGTGGTAAAATTTAAGAAAAAATCTTTGAATATACATTTACTTAGATATATTTTATCGAAATAATATTGCATAATGAATATGAGAACAATAGCAAATATTTAACGTTTGATGTTTTAATCTTTAATTTGACCAGAAAGAATTTACATATTTATTGTAAATAATTAAAATTTTTAATATACAATATATTTAATTACATATATTTACAAAGAATCAAAATATAATACTATGTTTCATATTAAGCTAAAGCGCGTTACTCTTCTTGGCGTCTCTCTTCTTGACGTTTCTCCTCTTGGCGTCTCTCCTCTTGGCGTCTTTCTTCTTGACGTCTCTCCTCTTGTCGTTTCTCTTCTTGTCGTTTCTCTTCCTGTCGTTTCTCTTCCTGTCGTTTCTCTTCTTGTCGTTTCTCTTCTTGTCGTTTCTCTTCTTGTCGTTTCTCTTCTTGTCGTTTCTCCTCTTGACGTTTCTCCTCTTGACGTTTCTCTTCTTGTCGTTTCTTTGCTGGGTTGGCGTCACGCTTCTCCTCTTGTCGTTTCTCCTCTTGGCGTTTCTCTTCCTGGCGTTTCTCTTCTTGTCGTTTCTCTTCTTGTCGTTTCTCTTCTTGGCGTTTCTCTTCCTGTCGTTTTTCCTCTTGGCGTTTTTCCTCTTGTCGTTTTTCCTCTTGTCGTTTTTCCTCTTGGCGTTTTTCCTCTTGGCGTTTTTCTTCTTGGCGTTTCTCCTCTTGGCGTTTTTCCTCTTGGCGTTTTTCCTCTTGGCGTTTCTCCTCTTGGCGTTTCTCTTCTTGGCGTTTCTCTTCTTGGCGTTTCTCTTCTTGGCGTTTCTCTTCTTGGCGTTTATTTACTGGGTCGGCGTCACGCTTGTAACCATATGCTTCTGCTTCGGCGTCACGTTTGTAACCATATGCGTCCCGCTTGTAACCACCACAACGTTTATCTGTATATGAAAAAATAATGTATATAGGGGTTATGTGAAAGGAACAATGATTTTAATTGTTTTATTAAATAATTACCTAGTGGGAATGCAAGTATCATTCCTAAATTATTTTAAAAAAATTTCAATATTTGAAAATTAGTATTAATATGAATAAAAAAGAAACATAATATATTACACATATTAAAAATTATAAAAATTGTTTATTTACTTGCTGAGCCAAAGGCGAAGATCATCAGCAATAAATATTTTAAATGCATGATTCCGGATTTTTTATATCTATATCTATATATATATATACGTTTATTTACTTATTTATTATTATTATTATTCGTAAATTTGTTTGATAAATTTTTTTCTCCCCTTCTCAAGGGGTTTATATAAAAAATTTTTCTTCTTTAAATCACATATTTTTTTTTTATTTTTTAGAAAACCATATTATTATTAACGAAGGCAAAGTAAAGGAGGCGTTACAAAAATATTTTTGCCACGTTTATCCATACTGCGCCATGATTAGGATTAGCAGTGCCACATTAATTAAAAAAATTTTATTCATATAGATATTATTTATTTTAAAGATATAATTTACGTGGATAACGAAAATTTTCAACACATAATCATTTTTTTTTTACAACGTGGCTTAATCTGCGCAAAATAAAGTATAAGCCACAAAAAATTTTTAAAATTGTGGCTTTTATTGGGAGAGGCTTTTGTAATAATAAGCCTTTTAAAAAATTGAAAATCGAATCGATAAACAAATAGTAGATTATTTTAAACCATATTTTCATATTCATACCATGATCAAAAATTAAGACGAGTAATTGGTTCAGTGACTTCTTACGCATTATTGAAAATTATCAATCTATATAATTAATTAGTTTCAAACTTAATGTTCCTAACAAATAAAAATTTCACAAAGGTACGGTTCTGACCTATTTCGAAGTGCAAACTTCGAAAAAAAAAATGATTTTTTTTATTTAATGAGCGCTAACACTAATGATAATCTTTTTTTTTTTTTTTTTTCTTTAGACGGATTTTTCCCTTGGTTCTTTCAACTTTGATTCAGCATTGCTGGTTCTTTTGTTCCAAAATTTTTCAATAAAAAAATTCAGTCATTTTAATTTTAATTTAAATAANAAGGTATACATGGCTATATATCGAAATATACTATCTATGAACACAGTATTTAGATAAATGTGTTGTTTTTGTATTCGAATGAATAGTTGATTTATTATATTTAATAGATGAAACATTTACTTTTTATCGATAGTTCAATAACGTTCGAACCAATACTTTTTTGTCAGGTCAATGTGATCCCTTTTTTTAGAATTAATCGAGTTAATCGTTACATACTATTGTATTCATTATATTTACTTTCTTGTTTTCTCACTTTGAGTACAGTTATGCCACGATTTTTGTTTTATTTATAGTATATTACCAATTTGAACTTTCCACATATTCTATATCTGAGAATACACGACGTAAAAAGTTATGACCGCATAGCGAATAAGAATTTAACAACATATTTCCTGTATGAAAGAAATGATGAGCCATTTAATTATACGGAATAATATGGTGCGTAATCAATTACTATAGTATCTGGATTTCGAAATGTTTTATATATTAGAAAAATCTTGTCATAACCTATTAAAACAAAATAAGCCTACCGTTATATTTAATAAAGTAAATAACATCAAATTTATAATAAGAATTTCACCTAATTAAAACAACTTCTTTATTATTATCAGGTTTTTAGCAATCATTATATTTTACGTGCTATCCTTCAATATTGTAAATGCTGAATATAAAACCACGTTTTCCTAATTCTTAAACTGATTTATTAACTTATATGACCAGTAGTCGGCGAATATTTTGCGTGAGAAAATTAATTAAAAACTTATTTAATTCGTGATCCGGATGTCGATCAGTGAAAATTCGTAAATAATAAGAGTCTGCCGTCGCCACAAAGACAAGTCATTTTTTAATTTTTATCGGAAGAGAAATTAATAATGCATTCGAAAGCTGCATACCATTTTCATTTTGTTGCACTGGATGCAGTGATACCTTACACACACAAAAATGCCAATCAAATAAATTTCATTAATGATCTACAAAATTTTGCCCCATTTTTTTCACTGATTTATAGCCGGATCTTGAATTAACCATAATGAACAAATAAAAAGACTATGCGTTCATTTTAACATTATTTTTGTTCTTTCATTTCGTTTCTCATAATTACTGCTGCGTTCGTGCTCGTTCAATTAAATTTTGTAACAAAGATTACGATAAGATTCATTATATACATTTGAATTAATAGATTTGTAGAATGCCCTAACCTATCAAAATCGACATTATGTAGAGATTTACTGGTTAAGATATTAATAAATATATTATTCGAAAATAAACGGAAACCGTCATTAAGTCCGAAGTAGTGGTTAAATTACAAATTCTGTCATCTAAGGAATATAGGTTCAGTTTCTGAGATGAGCTGGACATCCGGATATGACGTCATCAAACGTAGAAATATATAGTCCACTTCGGACTAATAAAACTTATTAAATAACATCTGATGGAAAACGAAGACTAATCTCTTTTCTTTGACTTTCCTTTTTTCAATTTCTTACAACCTTTGATTAGCCTCCAAATGGGAAATGTCTTTCATCTTCCTTTTTTTTTGCTTAAATTCACATGCATTATATATTACACGTTGATTTAGAAATTCGCTTCGTTTTTTACGATTATTAATTATATTTGAAGCTAGTTAACTACCATCTTTTCTTTTTTAGTTTTTATTATGGAAAATAAACATTTTATTGGAAGCTTTCATATTTTTTTCTTTTTGTTACAGTAGTTACACTTATAAAACCTTATATTATATATATTATATACTGTATATGATCTAACAATTATAGGATTGATTTCAAAAATTGCGTGATATACAGTATATACTGATACTTGTAGTTAATTTTTTTACCTTTTGTACTAATACTGAAATTCACATAGTCTGATTCATCCTTATTCTAAACACAGTAATTAATTTTATGCAAGAAGTTATACTTTATTTGTATATATATCAAAACTAAATAAAAATAATATTGTATAATTATATGTTGTTGAAAATCAAATATAATTACTCAAATTATTCGTGAAAAAATTATTGGAACTATAAAACATGAAAAAATTGACTTTTGATTACTCGTGATGCAACTCGTCGTAAACTTGATACCTTATTTATATATACCGTAAATAATCCGTCTCTAAAACATTTTGATTTATGTGGATTGTTTTGTCATTGTGGTAAGTATCATTTTATGGTTTTACAAGAAAAAGGAATTCACATGGACAAGGCTTTTTGAAATCCAACATATGATAATCACAAAATCCCTCTAACGATGTTCAACTTTTTTGACAAATAACCCGTCAAAACATTAAACTAAATATGCTTTTGTCTCGCAACAATGCCGATACCTACCGTAGTACTAAAACTAAAACGCAAGAGTCGTGCTAGCCAATCAAGTCATAATCTTTATAGTTGAACTTGACTATAATCACCCGCTTGATGTCATCTTTATTTCTCAGGTTGCTAAGTTGATAATATTTTGGCTAAACCTTGTGAATGATGGAAATGTTACGTATCACAATTCCGTAAATTTCATATGCAATTCATTTTTGAAGGTTTTTAAAAAAATTCAATGTATACGGATACGGAATTTATATTGAATTTTTAAACTTCATTTTTTAAAAATAATTTTATCATCATTCCCGTATCATAAAACTACCTAGCGTCGCCTCCAAAAAATGGTATTCATTTTGCCGGTTTATATAATATTATGGATGTCCCTAATCCTAATCCTAATCCCTTACCTCTAGTCATAACCCTAATTCTAAAGAACCGGCAAAATTAATCCGGCTACCATTTTTTGGAGGCGACGCTAGGTTCGTCCGTATCATAACATGTGACCACGTGATTGTTTATTGTAAAAGTTTCTTTTTTTTATTTTCATTTCGTTCCCCTTTAATTTTTTTTTTTAAAAAATACTTTTCTTATTCCCGCCTCGTTCCTTCTTTTTCTTAAAGAAAAAAATTGTTTTTCTTTTTTTTTATTTCATTTCGTTCCTTTTTATATTACATTGGACTCTTTATCTGTAAGTCGCTGAAATTTCTCTTCTTTTATTGTAGGATACCAAGGACTTTTTTTTTGTAAGACATTTCANTTTATTGTAAAAGTTTCTTTTTTTTATTTTCATTTCGTTCCCCTTTAATTTTTTTTTTTTTAAAAAAAAAATTTCTTTTATTTCCACCTCGTTGTTTTGTCTTCCCCTTTTTTAAAAGTCTTTTGAAAAAAAATTTTTTGGTTCTTTTTTTATATTACATTGGACTCTTTATCTGTAAGTCGCTGAAATTTCTCTTCTTTTATTGTAGGATACCAAGGACTTTTTTTTTGTAAGACATTTCAGATTTCTCTATTTTTCTTCTTTTCTTGTAAGGTGGTTCGATCTCTTTTTTGTAGGCGATTCGTTTTTCTAGGGCGGTTTGGTATTCTCTTTTCATTTTCTAGAGTGGTTCGCTTTTCTTTATTGTAGGGCGCTAGGACTTCTTTCTATTTATATGATTCTGAGCTGCTTTTTTTAGGAATATCGGATCTTGGAGACTTGTACGAACCTGGAATTACTTGTAAGTATTATATAGATGGTTCATTTATGTTTAAGGAACGTAGTAACATTTCTTTTTTTCTTTTTTAGGTTACTGGGCTTTAATTGTCCAGAGCGAAGCGAAGGACAATATATGTCTACGCACTATGAAAAAAAAACGATCACGTGAATTTCTCTGTCTGCCACGTGATCGTCGCCAAATGAAATCGCAAATTTTAGTTTTTCGCTCTGGACTTACAACGGTTCCCGTTTTCTAGTTACTGTAGATACTATATAGGAGGGAGTTTGTCTTTCAATTGAATTAAAGAAACGTTCTTACATTTCTTTTTTTTGTTTATTTATATTTGATTTAATAAAATGTATTATTAAAATTTATAAATATAATTTAGTGTTTAAAAAATGTATTAAAATCGTATAAATTCTATATAAATGTATAAAAATATGTGTATAACATACTGATAAAACGTGTTTATTCCGAAATATTCAGCATACAAAACGTATATAAACCGTAATTTTGTACTGAATACAGAATTGGACAGATTTCCGTATCACGTATTTTTTTCCGTATCTTTTTTTCAATACATAAATACTATTGTACGTTTAATCGTTTATTGTACGTTTATTATATGTTTATTACGTTTATCCCTATATAAAAACATATTAAAAACGTATGCAGATTTTTTATAGGGCATAGTAACACTACAGATAACCTAACCCTAACAGTACAAAGTTATAAGCTGTAATCCAACAAATATCAAATTATATATAAAATTTTTATTAAATACAGTTATAACGATATCTCGTTATAAAGACATATTATTGTATAATGACATACCATTTTTTGGATTCCTTTGATGTCGTTATATACTGTACTAAATCATAATAGATCTCATTACGGAGACAATTAGAAAAATTTTGTTATAACGGGCGGCACTTGTAACGACTTTACTAAAACACCCACTGGTATAGTATGTGATTTCACAAAAACTATAGCCTAAACTAGACAAGTTGTACTAATAAAAATTGTTCAGCACCCTTGAAAGTGGTCAGAAAAAAGAATTTGAATATATTTTTTTTTGTACTAGAAATGTTGCGAAATAAAAAAAAATCAAAACTTATAAAATATAAGCAAGTGAAGTATATGCTGCAGCATTAAGTACTTTGATGTGAAATATAATTATTAAATTAATAGAATCAGCTCAGCTAGACTATTAATAATATAGAATAAAAAGTTAGGGTAACAAATAAAAAAATACATAAACCATATAACTGTGATGTTGAACACCGCGGTGTGAAATATAATTTTTGTATAACAATTACAATCACCGCAGACGCTGCTTTAAATAATCGTGCTAATTGCCAAATAAAAAATTACCAGATTATAGGTCAATTAAGTAAGATTAGAAGATTACGGGTAGATTACTACTGAACAAAATTGAAGGCATATCAGAATCCCTATAAAAAATTTTCCAGAAAAATGACCACGTCTGAGTTTCTTCGGATTAGCATTTATGAATAGTTGGAATGATAATGATTCTTTACAAATTCATGTAATTGATGAGGGAATATTTGCGTTTGATTATGGGAGGGTGTGTACTCCATTTAATGAAAGAGGAGTTTTGAAAAGTCTTATCGGAATAAAAACTAGAATGATCATTTATCGGAATTTTTCTAGAATTTGTTTATAGGGAATACAGAATCCGAAAACTATTCATATAGCTCATGAACGTAGAAGGAGTTTGGTATGAAATCCCGAAACTCGAAAACCTGACAGTACATTATCCCGAACTCTAAATCTCGAAATGGCAAAATCCCGACATTTCATAAGCCCGACACTTCATAATCCCGAAATTCAAATTACCGAAACGAAAAATCTTGAAATTTATTAATAAAAGAAAGAAAATCAATATTATGGGGGTATATATATATATATATATTGTCGGGATTATAAAATTTGGGATTATGACAATTCGGGATTTTGACAATTCAGGATTATGGCATTTTGAGATTTTGTCATTTCGAAATTTAGAGTTCGGATAATGTACTGTTGGGTTTCAAGTTTCGGTATTTTGTACAGATCCCCGTAGAAGATATCAATAATTATAAAAGCATAAAACTGCACATTTTAAAAAATCAAAAGAAATGTCTTTATTTTCAATTTATTATACATGGATTCTTCTTTCCTCTATTCCTAATTTTAGGTAATTTTAACTTATCTTGAGCAACTTGGTTACCTTGATTGGCAGATTTTTTATACCAATATATTGCTTGATTTATATCCTTATTAACACCTTTTCCATTTTCATATATTTCAGCAAGTTTATATTGAGCTTTGCTATTTCCTAAATTTGCTGCTTTTTGGTATAGTTCAACGGCTTTATTATAATCCTTATCAACACCTTTCCCATTTTCATATATAATCGCAAGTTTATTTTGAGCAACACTACTTCCTAAATTAGCTGCTTTTTCATACCAAGAAATGGCTTTTTTATAATCTTTATTAATACCTTTTCCATTTTCATACATCATGGCAAGATTATATTGAGCACCAGTATTTCCTGAATTGGCTGCTTTTTCATACCACTCTATAGCTTTTTTATAATTTTTACTAGTACCTTTACCATTTTCATACATTATAGCAAGATTATATTGAGCAATAATACTTCCTAAATTTGCCGCTTTTTCAAACAATCCAATAGCTTTTTTATAATCTTTATTAACACCTTTTCCACTATTATACATTAAAGCAAGATTATTTTGAGCATTGATATTTCCTAAACTTGCTGCTTTATTATATAATTCAATGGCTTTATTATAATCTTTATCAACGCCTTTTCCATTTTCATAAATTATAGCAAGGTTATTTTGAGCACTAATACTTCCTAAATCTACTGCTTTTTGATATAATTCAATGGCTTTATTATAGTCTTTCTTAACGCCTTTTCCATTTTCATACATCAGAGCAAGGTTATAATGAGCATTAATATTTCCTAAATCAGCCGCCTTCTGATATAATTCAATGGCTTTATTATAATCTTTATCAACACCTTTCCCAGTTTCATATAAGATAGCAAGATTATATTGAGCATTAATACTTCCTAAATTTGCTGCTTTTCGATATAATTCAATGGCTTTCTTGTAATTTTTATCAACACCTTTTCCATTTTCATACATCAGGGCAAGATTATTTTGAGCACTATTATCTCCTAAATCGGCTGCTTTCTGATACAATTCAACGGCCTTTTTATAATCTTTATTAACACCTTTTCCATTTTCATACATTATAGCAAGATTATATTGAGAAACTCTATCTCCCATATTAGCTGCTTTATTATACCAAAAAGCAGCTTTTTTATAATCTTTATCAACATCTTTTCCATTTTCATATATTAAAGCAAGATTATATTGAGCAATTATATTTCCTAAATTGGCAGCTTTTTCATACCAATAAATAACTTTTTTATAATCTTTATCAACTCCTTTTCCATATTTGTATATTATAGCAAGGTTATACTGTGCACTGCTACTTCCCAAATTTGCTTCTTTTTGATATAATTCAACAACTTTGTTATTATCTTCATATATTGAAGCAAGATCATTTTGAGCACTATTACTACATAAATTAGCCGCTTTCTGATATAATTCAATAGCTTTGTTATAATCTTTATCAACACCTTTTCCATTTTCATACATTAAAGCAAGATTATACTGAGAAATATTGTCTCCTAGATTAGCCGCTTTCTCATACCAATAAATAGCTTTCTTAAAATCTTTATCAACACCTTTTCCATATTCATACATTAAAGCAAGATTATATTGGGCAATAATATCTCCTGAATTGGCTGCTTTTTCATACCAATAAATAGCTTTTATATAATCTTTATCAACACCTTCTCCACTTTTATACATTAAAGCTAGATTATATTGAGCAATATTATCTCCTGAATCGGCTGCTTTTTCATACCAATGAATAGCTTTTTTATAATCTATACTAACACCTTTTCCATTTTTATATAATATAGCAAGATTATATTGAGCTATACTATTTCCTGAATGAGCTGCTTTTTCGTACCAATATATAGCTTTTTTATAATCTCTATCAATACCTTCTCCATTTTCATACATTATAGCAAGATTAAGTTGAGATGTAATATCGCCTAAATTGGCTGCTTTTTCATACCAATAAATAGCTTTTTTATAATCTCTATTAGCACTTTCTCCATTCTTATATATTTGAGCAAGATTATATTGTGCGCTAATACTTCCTAAATCAGCTGCTTTATGATATAATTCAACGGCTTTATTATAATCTTTATTAACACCTTTTCCACTCTCGTACATTATGGCAAGATTATATTGAGAATTAATACATCCTGATTTTGCTGCTTTTTCATACCAATAAATAGCTTTACTATAATCTCTATCAACACCTTTTCCATTTTCATACATTAAAGCAAGGTTGTTTTGAGCACTAATACTTCCTAAACTTGCTGCTTTTTGATATAACTCCGTGGCTTTATTATAATCTTTATTAACGCCTTTTCCATCTTCATACATTATGGCAAGATTATATAGAGCACTAATATTTCCTAAATTTGCTGCTTTCCGATATAATTCAATAGCTTTATTATAATCTTTATTAATACCTTTCCCATTTTGGTATATTAGAGCAAGATTATATTGAGCGCTAATACACCCTAAATCTGCTGCTTCTTGATATAATTCAATGGCTTTTTTATAATTTTTATCAACTCCTATTCCATTTTCATACATTATAGCAAGATTATTTTGGGCGTTACTATTTCCTAAATTTGCTGCTTTCTGATATAATTCAATGGCTTTACTATGATCTTTATTGACACCTATTCCATTTTCATATATTATAGCAAGATTGTATTGAGAAATACTATTTCCTGAATCGGCTGCTTTTTCATACCAATAAATGGCTTTTTTATAATCTTTATCTACACCTTTCCCATTTTCATACATTATAGCAAGATTAAGTTGAGAAGTGCTATCTCCTAAATTAGCTGCTTTATCATACCAATAAATAGCTTTTTTATAGTCTTTATCAACACCTTCTCCATTTTTATAAATTACAGCAAGATTATATTGAGCGTTAATATTTCCTAAATCTGCTGCTTTCTGATATAATTCGATAGCTTTATTATAATCTTTATTAACACCTTTACCACCCTCATACATTATAGCGAGATTATATTGAGCGGTAACATTTCCTAAATTTGTTGCTTTCTGATATAATTCAATAGCTTTATTATAATCTTTATTAACACCTTTTCCATTTTCATACATCAAAGCAAGATTATTTTGAGCATTACTACTTCCTAAATCGGCTGCTTTCTGGTATAATTCAACGGCTTTATTATAATCTTTATTAACACCTTCACCATTTTCATACATTAGAGCAAGATTATATTGAGCACTAGTAATACCTAAATTTGCTGCTTTCTGATATAATTCAATAGCTTTGCTATAATTTTTATCAAAACCTACACCATTTTTATACATTAGAGCAAGATTATTTTGAGCTTTTCCATTTCCTAAATTGGCTGCTTTTTCATACCAATAAATAGCTAGTTTGATATTTTTTACAGTACCCATACCATTTTCATGAAAATAACCAATTTTAAATTTTCCTGCAGGGTAATTTTTATTACTAGCTACATTTTTATAATGTTCAAAAGATAATTTTTCATTTTTTATAATTCCATATCCATATTGATAACATATTCCAATAAAATATTGTGCTAATGTATTATTTTGTTCTAAAGCATTAATAAATAATTTAAACGCATTTTCATAATTTTTACTTATTATTATTCCATAAAAATTAAAATAGCCAAGTAAAAAAATAGATTTTGAATATGTTTGATTATTTGATAACCAATTATAAAATTCTTGTAAATTTATATTATACTTATAATTGAGAATATCTACTTTCAATTCTTTTCCTTCATTTATATCTTTTAAAATATCATCAACTAATTCATCCACTATTATACTATAACAAATACTGTGACGTAAATCTTTTTTAGATAAAATATTGTCATTTATTGAATTGTCCGTTTGATTATCTTCTTCTGTTATTATATCTGATTTTTTAATAATTGCTTTTAATTTTTCAACTATTTGTTTTATTGTTGGACGATCATCAGGTTCATTATTCCAACATTCTAAAAAAAAAAAAAAAATTTAAAAACAAGAGAAATTACTATATGATTGTTATCAATTGATGGTTTGCCGGTCAAATAATAAGTGAAAAATCTTGTTGCACGGTAATTTTTTATCTGCAACGGCACAATAAATATTCTTGACTGGCGAACCGTCAATTAAATTTAGAATATAATTACCGCTATAAATGTTTACATAATCTTCAGGTGTATCAGGAATAATTTTTTCTCTAAGACCTTGCGAAATTTTTACAGCCAAATTAATATCATATTGTTCACCTTCAATATAAAAAGGTTGTTTCCCACTAGATAATTCCCATAAAATGATTCCAACGCTATAAACGTCACTTTTTTTATTTAACGTGTATAATTTTGTCGTGTTGTCATTATTTCCTGGTTTATTGAATATTTTTGGATCAATATAGGGAACTATGTCATCCTCTAAATTTGATTGTGAATTAAATGTTTCTTTAATCCTTTTTGACAAGCCAAAATCCGCCAACTTTATGGTATTTTGGTGAACCAATACACTATTAGAATGCTATTATAAAACAACTATTAATAAATAATATATTAAATTTCAGTAATCGAATAATTAATAAATTACCAAATCACGATGAGCAACTCCTTTATCATGCAAATATAAAACAGCACAAGTCAACTGATATGCCAAGTTGTATTTATTCTCCCAAGTGAGGCCACCAAAATTTTTCTTTAGATAGTTTCGAAGAGTACCACCATCAGCGTACTCCATTACTAACCAGTATCCAACATCATAATTTTCTGATAAAATAAAAATATATATAATTGTTTTTTTTTTTATTAGAAATACGTTAAATCATAATTTTTTTTATTGCAACAAAATATTATAAAATACCTGACTCAGACTTTGTTATCCCATGAAAGCGAATAATATTATTGTGAAAATAATCATCTCGATATAATTTAATCTTTTAAAAAATAATTTAAAATCTGGTATAAATATTAAGAATATGATAATCAATAGTATATGTATATAATCATATTTAGTAATTACCTCACGAATGATTTCTTCAACAACAGTATTGTTAAGTTTGAAAAAATATTTTAACGTTACATATTGGCTTGAATTTTTCCAACTTGCGCGATAAACTTTTATGAATTCTCTAGAATCAATTTCTTTAATGTTATTGAAATTTTTGTACTCGTATTGTTTAAAATGATTCGTAACAATGGCTTCTTCAATCCGATTAAATAATTCTTTTGAATTATTGATAACTTCAAATTCGGTGTTGTCAGACATGATATTTCTGTTGTAAATATAATAAATATAGCTAGTAAAAATAAAATTTGTTCGTTATAGATAAAAAAATATTTTACAGAAGTTTTGCGCAAGTAGGTTATACAGTACAGTCATTTTATTACAAAACAGCGTCTAAAAAGAAAACCATACGACATTTTGACGATCAATGTAGTAACACATGATATCATATGGGTACTTTTAAGGCATCATTTTTTTTTTATTTGCCTTTATCAGTTAGTATATTTATCAAAAAAGTCTAGTGTAATAAAGCCTAAATTTTTAAACAATAAAATCAAGGATCTTGTTAAACGTTAGGCTTGAATAGACGTTTCTATTCAAATAAAAATTCCTTTTTTTACATTTTAATGATGTGATCAACATAAAATTTGACTATATGAAGCGTTACACTAATGTACAACTAATCATGGTCCCATGTTATCATACAACACTTTAAACTAATGTTCAGAGTATGGGTACTTAATTAAAATAAAAAGCCAGAGGAGTATTATAAAATAATTTACAAAATTTTTTAAATTATTTTTTACCATTAAAATTTTGAAAATATGAAGGGGAGGAGGAAAAAGTAAAAAAAAAAAAGAAATCTAGGGAATATTATTATATAATATCCAAATTTTTGAGGGGGGAGGGGGATTTAAAAAAAATTGATAAATTTTTGCTTTTTTTGGTATCTATCTAAATTTAAATTTTAGAGGAGGGGTAAACACTGGGTAAACAGAAAATCAAGTGATAAACGGATTATATGATCTGCAAAATGATTGCCAGTGTAACACTAACGATTTGCTGATATTATTCCGGGACCCGTTCACATTACCGACAATCACATTACCGACAATCATTTTACCGACACTCATATTTGCACCGAATTATTAGTTGATATTAAATTAAGAAATTAAGATTTTCGTTTTAATTATTTTTTGAAATTAATGTGTACAATATTATATTTAATATTTTTATAATAAAGTATTTTTATTTTTATGCAAAAATTTACCACAAACGCACATATGATAGGAAGTTGACGCAGATCTACATATAATGAGGTCTGAGTAGATCTGTTTTATGGATAATTCCGGTCAAAATTTTTTAAAATGTATGTAATATTAATAGAATATAAAAAAAAAATATATTTAATATATAATATAAAAATATCAAACAAATCCGCCCATATGTTTTAGATACTGGCTGACATTATCTTAATTCCGGCCCTGAAAGAATGGACTCTGGTTTCTATATATATATTTCGGGATCCTGTTATTGGAGGGGAGAACAGATAGAGATATCGGTCTTCGATCGACATCTCTATTTCACCATCAAATCAATAAGCTCTCTTTGTTATACCAATTGCTAAATTTACTATCATTATGTGATCGATTAATGTTTCAGAGTATTTTCCAACATATTATAGGATTTGAAAGAACCCATTATATTATGTGTTCACAAATCTCAAATTAAATTAACTTTATTAATGCTTAAATCATTCATTTTATCTAACTTCCCCAAAGTCTTTAATTTCAAACATTTTTCTCATGAAAATCTCCGAAAGTCTTAATATCTAATTTCAGTTACATCGCTTGATCATCTTAATATTCGACCGACGGACGGCGGTATAGACGATATTAATTTTATTTACATATTAAACATAATTAGCAACTATTTTTTCATGTTTTTTGTAAGTTTTTTAACGTAAAGTTGTAAGATATACCGTATTTCATATTTTAAATAAAAATTTGAAAAACAAACTTTTATTATTGTTGATTTTAAAGTAAAATGAATTTATTATCAAAATCTGAGAAGGCGAGGAAACTTTATGTAATCCTTATCCAATAATTATTTATATTTAACTAAAACTATATTATGATATAATTTCATCTGATTATAATAAAAGTTATATTAAATATTTTTTTTTCTTGGAGTAAATTGATAGTATTTTACAAAATAAATAATTTAGCTATTATTAAATCCATTTATGTAAAAATTCGTTTGGTTTAAATAATAGGATCATTATAGGTACTAGTACGAATTTGCAAAATCTGTACGGTACGGTTGGTCCAAATATCTATATCATAATCGATGTTTATTTTTTTTTTTAAGGTAAACGAAATAATTTATTATTTATATGATAAAGAACATACAAACTAATACAAAATTATACATTGAGTTTAGATATTACATCAAGATAATATCCTCCCTCTTTACCCTTCCCTTAACCCCTTAACGGGTCGCATTCATTTCACTAACAATCATTCACCGACAATTATCTCACCGACAGACGGTTCACCGACAGGGTCATTTAGACAAATGTTTCGCCGACAATCATCTCACCGATGGAATTTAGGATTAAAGTTAAGGTTAGGTAAGAAAATTAGGGTTGGATTAGGTTAGGTAAGTGGATTAGGATTTCAAAACTGTCGGTGAAATGAGATAATTGTCGGTGAAATGATTGTCGGTGAAATGAGCCAGACCCGTATTCCGCCGTCATATGAGCATCCGCGATCCTCCTCTTGATAATCGATGATATACATGAAATTTAGCGTACGTTTATTATCGTTATATCTACACACGTGATAGTATAGCCTCGTCAATCATTTCCGTAATAATAACTTAAGATGATCATTTTTTAGGTCAATTCTGCAGATCAGCGAATGTGTATCATTTTTTTATTAGCATTTTTATCTGAATATTAATAATTTATATATCATTTATAATAAAACTTTCACAATTTCTTTATTATTTAACGTAAAAATTTTGCTTGTTTATGTTAATAAAGCGTTTGAAATTCACGTTATTTGGCGTAATATTCGCTATGTTACGTATGACATACATGAAACATGATTTAAGCAATGTCGCACATATTTCAACATTTCGGAGTTTGATTCCGGTATTTTACTATATAAATATAATAATTAATGTAATTTTCAATTTTATTGAATTTTTTTTTTCTTTTTTTTTCAAAAAAAAAAAAAATTTTTTAGAAAGAACGAAGAATATTCAGATTCAGATTGAAAATATTTTTTTTTTTAAAAACGTTATTTATTTATATTATTATTATTATTATTATTATTATTATTTTTGGACGAGAATGTCGAAACTAAATAAAGATATTCTTTTCCTAATATTTGAAGAATTACAAAATGATTCAAAATCTCTCTTTTCATGCCTAATGATTAATAAACTTTGGTGTGAAACTGTGATTCCAATTTTATGGAGGAATCCTTGGTGTTATGATATTAATTATAATGATAAAAATTATTTATTTCTAATAATCGCTTCCTATTTAACTGAAGATATTAAAGAATACTTAACTAGACAAGGAATTCAATTACCATCATTTTCATACAAATCACTTTTATTTGATTATTTATCTTTTTGTAGAAATATTAATATTAAAACTATAAATACTATAATTTCTATTGGTTCTTTTTTGGCTTATAATCAATTTCTTTTACAACAAGAATTTTATAGTCTCTTTATGAAGAAATTTATAGTATTAAAATATTTAGATATGAAATCCATAAAACATCAAATATTTTATTTTCCAGAATCTAAAACTTGTCTTAAATCACTTTGTGAATTAAAATGTGATACATCAATAGATTCTTCATATTTTTATGGATTAGCACGTTTATGTCAATATATACAAAGACTTATAATTGTTAATGTAAACACAAATGTTAATTATGGAATTGTTAAATTAATTGAAGTTCAGATGAATTTGAAATATTTTGAATGGGAAGATGTTTTTGAAGATAATTTTGAATTCAATTATTCTAGAGTAGATCCTTATAAAGAAGTTCTTCTCGCATTAGAAAAAAAGGCAGATATTTTAAATCATTTAAAATTTTATTTTCTATATGTTGATCACACGTTACAAAGGGTACTACCAAAACTTCATAAATTAAAAACTTTAATAATTAATGATTTTGGTCGTTCTAGTGACGACCAATTGAAAATGTTGATTTATAATGATCTTGAAACTCTTATAATAGATTGTATTTTATTAAATGCAGCTTCTATTATAATTAAAAATAGTGGTGGACGTTTAAAGAAAATTTTATTAGAACCTTATGATTTCAGTCTTCATGATGAAAGCTTTACTAAAGATTCTCTCTTTTTTATTCGTAAAATTTATGAAAATTGTCCTTCAATTGAATATTTGTCACTTGCATTTTCACCATCAAAGGAACATTTTACTGAATTTGAAAAATTATTAAAAATTTGTCAAAATTTGAAATCAATTTTATTAACTATATTTAACATAGAAGAAATAGAAACTAATGAAAAAGTTATAGAAAATGGGGAAGAATTATTAAAAGTATTAATTAGATCAACACCAATTAATCTAAGAGAAATTAGATTTTCTGATGATTTTATATTTTCTTTAGAAGCTTTGGAGGAATTTTTTGGAAAATGGAGAGGTCGTCCACTTACCATACTCACAACTGATTCTATTTATGAAGGAGAACATTATACAAAATTAATTGATAAATATAAAAATGATGGTGTAATCAAAGATTTTAGATGTGAACCTTTCATTGATGTAATATATGGACTTTAAGACAATGTATTCATATCGCTGATATATAAAATCGACCAAAGTTAAGGATTTTATAACATATAGGTAAGAAAAATCTAACATTTTCATATGATAAACTCATTCCATAAATATAAATAAACAACACGATATCTAATGGATTTTTTATTCTAAAATACTCTAGCAACCATTTTTTTATTTTATTCTACATTTTTACACAAATATCAGTTGTAAAAAAGTTGTAAGAGCTAGACTTTAGGCATTTTTTTTTTTATTTAAGTAATAATAAAATTTTATATTGTTGATTTAAGGTTAGATAAATGTATTATTCAAAATCTGAGAGTGAGAAGAAACTTTATGTAACCTTTTTAACTCTTTATATATAATAAATTCTAATATATTGGAATTCGGAATATAAATGAAAATTTAGCTAATATTAGATAGGTTAGACCTATACATAGTTAAGCATAATGCAATTCCATTTATACTACAACCAAATATAGGCGAATAAATTAATTGCTAACACTACTGACGTTACTACTGGTAGCCTTCTTGCTCAATTTACCATAGAATTAGCTTCAATTCTTATTATTCAAAAATGAGTATTTTTCTC